GTGGAATCTTTGAACTAAATCAACAATTTACATCAATATTCTGAACCAGTTTGGACTGGATCAAATCAGAGCCTATGACACGCATTTAATATCTGCAGTCCATTAAAAACAAAATGAGGATGACATTACATTTAATGCTCTGAAGGCTATTCTACACTCGAAAGTACTCCTGAGGATTAACACTGGGAATTGAAGTGAAACACATTATTGAAAACAAAGCTTCTATTTCCATCATTTTTTTCTAGAGAAAGTCCAGAAGGAGATTGAAGATGTGTTTGGCACCTCGGGGTCAATTTCCTATCAAGATCACAAGAAGCTGCCCTACACCAATGCTGTGCTTCATGAAATGCAGCGTATAAAATATGTCTTGCTATTTGGGGTTCCCAGGCAAAGTACAAAGGATGTGAAGATGAGGGGTTACCACATCCCAAAGGTAGAGAAACTTGTTCAGGCTCCATTCCAGGAGTCCAAAATGGAAGGAAAACCACCACGTGGCACTTGGAAAGAGGCTGTCTGCTCAGGAACTGCCACTGTAGTTGCACAAAATCAAATGAGCAAGAACAACGTATTTTGTGAGGGGGGGGGACTTATGGGTTTAAATCCAAACACCTATCAGATTTTAAAGCTAGAACTCTAAATGTTTTACATTTATTTTAGGAAGATGATAAGAGATTAAGAGCTGAACTTAAATTCAGAATTGTAGTCATGAGTGGCCATGTTTCTTCACTGATATGTCCTCTTCTTGGGGCAACCTGGAGTGATAAAGTAATATGGACCCAGCCCTTCATTTTAATGGAAGGAAGGGGAGAAAGGAAGCCAAGCTTTTGAGCAGCCACTGCTGTGAGAAACTGCTTTGGGAATGAACAAATGTGGGTCCATAAAGGCAAGCAATGAGCAAATGTTTCATCAATTTTGTTTGAACATTTTTGCCTGTTTACCTTATGAAACTGCTGATTTAGTCATCTCTTTTTTTACAGGGGACTTTTATTATCCCAGACCTGCGCTCTGTTCTTCTTGACCCTGAACAATGGGAGACACCTGAAGAATTCAACCCCAATCACTTTTTAGACAAGGATGGGAAGTTCATCACCCGGGAAGAGTTTCTGCCATTTGGAATAGGTAAATCCATGAGTCCAAATAGCTTATACCTTATAGATTCCCACCAGCACCACCCCTGAGTAGTTCTGAGGTCATCATGGTCTGAATATGAAACCAAAGAAACCTTAATCCTTCTAGTTTCAAAACTAAGAGAATCTGAATTTTCCTTAGGCTATAAACTCTGAAGTACAAAGGAATACTAGTTACCTTTAGATTGCGATTTTCATGGGTGGATAGCTTCAGATTTACTTGCTGATGGGGATATACTCTGGGGAATAAATTGTCATTCCCTTTCTGCATGCCTTGCCTCATCTACAGGTCAGCGTGTATGTGTGGGAGAGCAGCTGGCAAGAATTGAGACCTTCATC